TTTTCTCAAGGCACCTCGTTCCATCTGTCAACCTCGCTCCGACATGTGTCCCACACAATTCCCGCCGCACGCTGCTCACCGACTGACAACCCATACATAATAACCACGGCACACTCATACTCAAACACCCCCCCCCCCCCCCCAACCCCCCTATACCACCCACACCCACCTAACTAGCCACCCAACAGCCACCACCCCCAAAAAAAAAAAAAAACCACCCCCCCCCCCCCCCCCACCCCCCCCCCCCCCCCCATATGCCAACTTTAGACTGACTGCCCGAGGCTAGGCTGAGGTGACGGGCACGGCTTCTACATATTATATACCATTCTCAACCCCTCCTAAGAGAACTGGTCAGAGCCATGTTGGTGTGAACGAACGAAAAGACAAAAAGACAAAGTTGATACCCACATCTCTTTAACGTTCCTCCTCCTCCTCATCCTTCTTCTTCTTCTACTCCTCCCTACTATTGCTGTTTCTTAATTAATTCCGAAAGGGCATTTCATTTTAGATCAAAACCCTCCGGCCGCCCCATCCCCCTTTCCCAGCGTTCCAAACAGAGTTCGAACGGACTCTCAAGTCAACCTTCCCGTGACAGACAGGAACCGTCACTCATTCCGGTGCGAAACTCGTTTACATCCGCCCTAAGCACACGCCCTAGGCAGCCTTGAGAGAGAACAACAGCAGGCGCAACATCACGACACCTCAAGTATTCTCATCAACAGACGTCCTCCCTCTTCTTTCTTTTACTCATCGAACTCTTATTTACACTCACTAGTTCTTTATTCATCATTGGGGGGAAAAAATAGAAATAAGACTGTTATTCTATTCGTCCCCCAAAAGAGGGCCATCATTGCCCAGGCCCGACGAACGGCGCGCTGCGCGCATTCTGCACCAACCCCCCATCAATATAAGTCGAGAAATCGACGACAAATACCACAACGAGGATTCTGTTCATCGAGACAACACAACCCCCCAAAAAGGAATGCCTGTCATAAAAATCGAGGCCGTCACGGACCTGCTATGTCCGTGGTGCTACGTCGGCAAGAGGAACCTCGAAAGCGCAATCTCACAATACCGCGCCGTGGACCCCTCTGCCGAGTTCGAGGTCATCTGGAAGCCGTTCTACCTCAACCCGGCGTTGAAGAGTTCCGGTACGTTTCACTTTTTTTTTTTTTCCTCTCCTTCTATTTTTCCTCCTTTTGTCTTTTTCATCCATGTCTTACATGTATCCCAATTCCATCACTACCGAAGGGGGAAAGGCCACACACCCACACATGCCTCTTCACTCTCACTCCTGACCACCCCGGGCCCCCGCGGCCCCAATCCCCTCTTACTTTGCATCCACCTCCATAATCCCACCATGCCAGGATATCAAGCCTCGGAAGGGGAAAAAAAAACATAAATCCCCCTAACATGGAAACAAAAAACCGACAGGCTACGACAAACGCGAAATATACACAACGCGCTTCTCCCTCGGCGGCGACCTCGCCTCCGCCATAGCCCGCGTAACCTCCATCTGCGCCTCGGCCGGCATCCGCCCCGACGTCGCGGGCACGACGGGCAACACGCGGCAATCCCACAAGCTCCTCGCCCTGGCCCTGGCCCGCAAGGGTCCCACAGCCCAAGACCGCCTCCTCGAGGCCCTGTTTCGGGGCCACTTTGAAGAAGGGGCCGACATCACGGACCGACACTACCTCGTCGCCACCGCCGCCGCCGCCGCGGGGCTCGACGTGGCCGAGGCCGAGGCCGCGCTCGACAGCGACCGTGCGGGCGAGCTCGTCGACGGCGAGGTCGTCCGGGCCAGGAAGGCGGGGGTCACGGGGGTGCCGACGTTTACGGTGCAGGGTCGGTGGAGGGTCGGTGGGAACCAGGAGCCGGATGTGTTTTTGAGGGTGTTTGAGCGGGTCAACGAGGATCATTGATTTGGATTTGTTCTTTGTGAGAATTTCCTTTCTTAGCCATAGTAAGGTAGGAGGGGAAAGGGAAAGAAGGGGGGTGAGGGGTTCGGTTGGGGGTGGCTTTCTAGGTTTTTGGTTCCATTTTCTAGCTCTTCGAATTGAGCGATACTGCATTGCGGTGGCAGAACATCATTTCCATAGCACAGCGTCGAAGAATGAAATGATGCTGGTTATTCATTCATTGTTCTTTTGTTTTCTTGGCAAAGGGCCCATCATGAACCCACCCGTCTATAAGAAATGAGTACGAGACACGGAAAGGATAAAGACAAACTGCCAGGTCTTTTGCCTAAAGAAAAGTCGTCCATCCGTCCACCGTCTTCCCACCCTGCCCCAAAACGCCGTTCAAAATGCAGTCTCTGTGTATATACACAACCGGTGATTTGTCTACCGCTTGACCATGTGGCTGTAATCCTTGAGCAGATGCTCCATGTGCGTGTTGGTCGTCTTGCCCGTGCGCCGAACGGCCCGCTTCTTCTGCTGCTTCTTGGAGTCAACCTTTTTGATGGTACTGGGGTCGGCGCTGGCCGGCTTCTGGCCCACGGAGACGAGCTTCTTGACAATGTCGTCGATGGAGGGGACCTCGACGACGTTCCACATGCGCTTGAACTCGTCGTCGACGTGGTGGTGGAGCGTCGCGTCGTCCAGCCAGATGGCGCGCGGGTGCTGCTCTTTCTTGGTCTTGACAATTAGGATCTTGTGCTCGCGCTCCAGCTCCATGAGCGCCTGGTCGCAGTCGGGCCACCCGTCCTTGAGGTCCTTGACGTTGGTCCCCTCGGCGTCCCGCTTGCTCTGCAGGTGGCGCAGGAGCGTCATCTTGTCCCTGACGCCGGGGATGATGGGGCGGTGGACGTACGTGCCCGTCCGCCACGTCTGCTCCGACATTTTTGGGTCGGGCACCCATTGAATGCGGGGGTGCCGTCGCATGCCCTCGACCAGCTGCTGCTTGTGCTTGTCGGTGCTGCGGGTCTGGCCCAGGTGGTCGAAGATCTCGGTCGCCGTCTTGGGTTCGTCCTTGCCCTTGAGCCACTCCAGCGCGTACTGCATTTGCGTAAAGACTTCCTGACCGAAGCTGGTGTTCTGAGGCTGCGAGTAAACGATTGCGTTGGGGTCGCGCTTCCGCTTACCCGACGCCGTGGTGTCATTTTTGGATGCGGACGCCGTGCTGCCGACGGACGGGGAGGGTGATGGTGGTGCGAGAGATGTGTTCTTAGACTGTAGCTTGCTCGCGGCCGAGGCCAGTGAGCTGCTGAACGCAGCTTTCTGCTTTTCGAGAAGGGACGACATGACGGGCGATGAACGTGTTGTTTGATATGGTAGTGGACCGTTTTTTCCGAAGCTCGTGGCGTGTGTTGCGGGATAGGCCTTGAAGGCGGGGTGACAGCTCGGGACGCCGTTTAGTTTGAGGGTGAAGGTGACGGCCTCAGGACTAGGTCCTTTCCAAAACCTTGCGCAACTAGGTGAAAACTTAGGCTGCTTCACAACGTTACTCGCCAGGAGGTGGTATAATTGTTGAGCGGTCGACGTATCTCGGCGCAAATCGTGGCGCAAATGGACCGGCCACTCGATTCTGGACCCAGAGGTTGCAGGAACCTTCTTGAACGTTGCAAAGTTCTACGCGACTCTCAATGAACTCTTGGTCGGATATGCGACAGGCTTCGGTTCTCGGTTGCCTCGTCTCGAGCTGGAAAGGTTCCTCCAAAGTCGATCTGTAATGCTCAAAGGCAACGACGCCGAGAACCGCCTCCCCGCAAGAAGATGCTGCTAGAAGAGACCTTCCCAAGCTTTCCCCCGTCGCCTTGATCGATATCAACTCCTTCGATTCACTCTAAATCGATCGTCGCTCTCGCTTCGCACCAGAATCGCAATCGCTCAAATCGTCGAGCTATCCCAGCTTCGCCCGTCACAGTCGCCGCCCGTATCCCTCGAATCGATCGCTGTTAACACAGAAAGCCGCCAATATTCGTACTTATCGGCGCGATTCGTATTATCTCGAGTTGCCGTCCTCGACGTGAGTTGATAGTCTGGGTAAGAAACGAGAAAAAAAGGCTTCTTTGTCGATCCAAGATAATGGTAGGATACCCGCCTGCTGGCGATTCAATTCTCTGGGACGTTCAATAATGTGGCGCACGGACGAGGCTGGTGACTCAGTGGAGACGAACTGAGCCACGGCGTGATCAGGTCGGTTGGTTCGGAATATGGAGACGCCCTGATTCCACCTCCCAGCAAAGGATTCCGAGCTGATTGGGTACGGCCTTGCAGCAGGGACCTGGGTATGCGTTGTGAGTTGCACGGGCCACGCTTGCTCACGGAAACACCAGGTTTACGCAAGAGCGGTAACTAGTTACCTTGGGTGAGGCAGCGACCGGTTTCCTATGGCAATTGGTGAGCACAAGCGTAGGCTAATTTGTGAGCCTCTGATGGATCAAGGACCTGTTGTCTGGGTGTAGTAAGAGCATGATTGCAATCACAATTGCTATGTCACATAGGTTTACACGTCGACCTCGCGGCTTGTCGGTCTGTTCATTCACCAAAGTGCGTAGCAGCTTGAACGGTTGCGTTTAGCATATCCCCAGAATAACGCGGCCCGCTACCCCAGATATCTAGTACAGAAGCTGAAAACAATCGTAACCAGAAAGTATATTCTATTAAAAGCATATATTCTCCCGGCAGATTCGGCTCGGTTTATACTTAACCAGCCAGATCCTTCGCCGCTGAATAAAAGCTCCCCTATAACCCGTCTGCGCCAGCTCGTAACACATCCATTGGGTCCCAGGGTGACGCGAAGGCTTCCACGTGAGCCCTACCCTCCCTCTCGAAAACGTTTCCGCCTGTTGAAGACAACGACTGGGTCCCCCTTGGTCGCGGAGGCGGCGCGCGCACTGTCATTCCCCCTTTTCGGGAGCGGCGGCGATTTGGGGGGGAGCCCTTTCCCTCTCAGCACTTGTCACTTTGCTGTGAGCAAGTCGAGACACAGCAATCGGCTCACAATCTTATGCGGATTGCTGCTGTTGTTGCTGCTGGTACTGGTAGGCGACGTATGCGAGGACACCGCCGACGAGAAGGACGGCGTACAGGCCGATGCCGAAGCCGGTGCTCTCGCTGCTGGAGGATGAGCTGCTGGCGGCGACCTGCTTCTTGGGGGCAGGGTCTCCGGGCTGTAGGACGGAAAAGTCAGCATAATTAATTCCCGCAGCTCAGGCGATGTGCGCGATGGCGACAAATCGGGTTGTTTTACTCACCTGGCGCTTCAGGTTGCCAAGGAACAATTGTTCCAGGGTCTCGCGGGCCTCGTCGCTGTGTCCGACATCCTCGAAGGCTTCGGTGGCATCCTGACCGCCGACGTCAAGAAGAACCTCCTCGCCACCGCTGGGAAAGAGAAAAAGGTCAGTTGGGAGTAATGATCGGGGAGAGATTGAAATTCCGAGCTGTAGAGCACCGGCGCAAGCGTGGCAATTGGGAGCAGGTCTAATACTTACGGGTGCTCGTCGACGAACTTGGTGCAGTCGTAGATCTTGTCGTGGATCACCATGTAGATGTCCTTCTTGGTGTTGTGCTCGGCAACATCCTGGTAAGTGAGTTCAACGGCGCCCATTGTGACTGATTTGTGTGATAACCGCAAAGGATTTTGGTGGTAAAACGTGGCTCCTTTTTTTGTCTTGTGGTGTGAAGTTTGTTGAGGGTTCTGCGGTTTGGCTCGAATTCCGGTAAGAGGATTCGAGAGGTTTGCGCGACACAAGGGACGTTCGAAGAAGAATCGCAGACAAAGGAGGCTTTGTGGGCGAAATGAAGTGGAAGGAGGAGTTTGGCGCAGGAGGAAGAGGAAAGGAATCGGACGAGAAACAGGTCCCTCGGATGTTGTTGAGCCCGTTTACTGCTTTATCGCGGGCCCCCGCTAAAAATCGGGGAGGGGGGAAAGGCAGCACTTGGACTGGGACTGACAGCTAATGGGAGCTTCTGCTGGGTCCAGCGGTCACTGTGGACACAATGGAATAGCACTGCTTGGGGGAAAGAGGATAAGGTACCGACGGTCCGTTCAGGGGGGTGGGCGGTGTTTGAGCCAATGGGAGAAGAAGAAATTAGTGCACAGCTGATGTGATTCGCTAGGTCATGTGGGTCAGTGCACTTTGAAGGTACGGCAGCACAAGGAAGATGCAATCCTCAAGGGGGATGCCAATTTAGCTGGCGGAGAGAGTGAGGACAAACACCATGGAAACGACTATCCGCACTTTGGGCTTGGGACTTGCTCGGGCTGGAGAGGAGAAGTTCGCCGGCGTCCTTCTCGGCATCGCACTCGGGTAGTCGAACCCCACCCCGACACCTTCCAAGGCTGGCCACCGTTTGATGCATAGAAACAACAGTCACATACCTATTCGTACCCAATAGTAGGTCACCTTCAAGATTCAAACTCACTCCGCGTCTATTTTGCCATACCCCATGAACCGGGACCTCGGTCATAGGACCTAGGTTAAACCGCCCTGCTTGGACAGCCACGTCTCCTTTATTTTCCCCCGCCCAATGACACTCCGAAGGGACATGTCGAGTCAGGGCTCCCGCTGCAAACCTAAACGCTCGCCGCTTATTACGAGGGTCCTCTACTCTTTACCGCCCCAAACTTCCGCGATTGATCAATACACTGCACTCTGGAGAACACCACCAGGTTTAGCACGTTTCGGAACCCATGACCCCCTCCAACCGGGCGGAATCAATTCGGTGTCCGCTCCCGCAGCACTACGTAATATCTCAAGTACGGACACTGTTCGGCCCTTGACTTGGAGTCTAGGATTGGGACCACGATGACCTATGTTCAAAGATCTTCTGTTTGCCCATCCTGCTTCTTTATACAGGAAGAAACCGACTGCAACATTCCCCCCCAGCATACACACCGAGTCTTGAGTCTGTCTGTCGTCCGTCAGCCACAAGGGTCTTTCCGGCCTCTGGCTCTAACAAGAGCCCGCGGGGGCGGGAGAGGATCCAGTTATTCGTGTTCGTAAAATCGCACCGCCAATCGCCGGGACTTCTTGTGCTTCTCGTGGTTCACGAGCAGCCCGACTGCAACACCAGAGTCCTGTAAAGCCCACAAGTATCGCGCTGCAAGGTCATTGTCCGCCGAAATCCCGCTTCCACGGCCCGCTTCTACGGGGGATACACGCCGTGCCCACTGCACCACCCATGTCCGCCTTTTCCTTCCAGGCTCTCTTCCCGACGCCAACATTCCGTCGGATCTTTCCTTTATCTCGCCGTTCCGCCGGGTTCATAGCTGGACCAGGGCTGGCGCTGGGCGCAACGTACGGGATACACTACTACACTGCATATCTGACCGTTAAAGAGTCTGGGTCTCACAGAGTATATGAATACTTCAATTCCTCCAACGGACAATGCTTCTTGCCGTGCGCCACGACGGTCCTATACAGAGACACTCCGTGAGTACATTAAAAGGCCATCAATGTTCTTAACGCCCCGACTGCAAGGGATTCCTCCGCGATTGCGTAGCCTGGAATCTGCTAAATGCTAATTCCGGACCTCCCCATCCTGCAACATCGACACGTCGGGAAGTTCGGGATGATCCCGAGGCAGTCCCGTGCAGTCTCCGGTATTGTCATATCAAAACTCCCACTCGTTTTCCGTACGTGAAAAAGCAAAGGCGGGGAACATGCGGGGTCAAAAACGAGATCCAGCTCTTTCGATAATCAGCTGCAATACCCTTTTTTTGTTTGACAATCGTTCAAAGCTCATCGCGATTTGTTACCTAATTAGGTAATTACCGCCGGTTAACATCGTCTTTAAGCTTATCCAGTGCCTGTCATAGACAGATAGAAAGATACATTTTAAGTGTTCTTTGATATCTACTGGATCACTTTGAACCTTCTGATTCAGTAAGAATTTGTTCCTATCTGTCTATTGTCATCCAACAATCGCGCGGAGCCGATGCGTATAGTTAATTATTCGATGGGGCCTGCTGGACCCCATCTCTAAAACGTACATTGTCACTGGAGGCAGACAAGTGGTTTGGAGGTAAAGAAAGCTTTTTAAACCATTCCTAGCTTTACATGCTGAATGCACCGGTCGAGCATCACTCTATATGTAGCCCTTGGTAAACGAAAGAAGACTCTCACCGTACGTCCCTTTATTTCCGGCCGCCGCCAATGTCCTGACCCAGCCTGTACGAGGTGATCTTGTCCCACTCAATCTTCTGCCTCGTCACGGGAAGCTGTCGTCGCAGGCCTTTGAATGCGCCCTCGCTCAGGCTCGTGAACCCCCTGTTGAGCTCCTCCTGGTACTTCTTCTCCGAAGCGGAGATTTCCTTGACGATGCCGGCGCCCGTGCCCGACGAGACCGACGCCTGGGTGGGCCGGCTGGTGAGAAGCCGGACGTTGCCGTCTTCATAGTAGTGCACGTCGACCTTGACAAAGCCCTCGAGGGCCTCGGAGGAGGGGTCGAAGATGTAGACGGACCGCCAGCGACCGTTCCTGTTCCACCCGTGTTAGTGCAAGACGATCGAAAGGGAAGGGGATAAAAGCGTGCAACGACGCCGCCACATACCAAAAGTTGTTGGGAGAGTACTTGTTCGAGACAATGATGACTGCAACCTTGGAATCCTTCTCAGTAGGATAGGCACCGTACGCAGCGTTGGGGAAGTGCTCCTGGACATAGGGGCCGAGGCTCTTCAACGTCGACTTGCTGCATAACTTTTAGCCTCATTGCTGATCCCGTGTGACCTATGCCCGTGAAAACCTACATCAAGTCCGCGTTGGCGCTCTCCAGCACGTAGCTTTGCACATTGCTCGCCTTCTGTGTGGTGTGGTCAAAGGAGAAGCTCGTGGAGCTCTCCACGTCAAAGTACTGGCCATCGCCGAGCGAGCTGTGCGAGCTGATGATGACCTGTTTATTTAGTATCCCTTGATACTCCATCTCCAGACTCTCAGACTGACCTGCTGGCTTCCGCCTGGCAGCTTCACCGTGATGAACTGCTCCTCGTTGTACTTCTCAAACGCCGGCTCGAGGCTGGACACGATCTCGGGGTCCGATACGGTGAGCGACTTGATGTCTTGACCAGTGTCAGTAATATTTCATGTATCATCTTTTCGTCGTTCGAGGATGGGGTGTCGTGGGTGAGCCAAGTGTGGTATACCTGCAATGACATCTGCGAGCTTCAATCGGGGTCAGCTTGGGGTTCGCGACGTCATGCGTCCTAGGGATTGGGGGTGGGGTGGGAAGTACCTCGCCTGGTGGAGCGCCCTCCACGAAGGAAGACACGGTCTCGACTTGGGACATTGTGAGGTAATCCGGCACGGGTTAAGATCTGGTCGCGCAGTCCGACGTTGGTCGGTGATGATGCGGCTGTAGTGAAGAGCTGCCTCTTGATGGGACGTTGAAACGTAATGCGGGGCAGTTGGAGGCGGGACAGGGGAGAGCAGATTGGCTGGGAAAGTGGTTAATTGTTAGCGCGGGACTTCCACTCGAGCGCAATGAAGTGGGGCCCAACGTGTACTTTCTCATCACGAAGCTCACTCGACTATTTGGGCCCATTGTAACTTGAATCTACTTCATTTCTATTGCTGCCGACACAAAGCTTCTGAGGATGGATCGGTATATCATCAGGGGGTATGTTCCATGTTTTTTTTTTTTTTTACTTTCTCTCCTGTGTTTGTTGACTCACTCCTAGTTCCTTACCAACCCTCAATAGTCCAGAACCCGCTTAATGTTATCATACACCCCTGGATCAGTTAGAAATCAACCAACGTATTTGACTGAGGGAACTACACTTACTCGCAACGTCAGGAATGTTGAACTTCTCATAAAGCAATGGACTGTGAATGCTCCATCCCGCGACCCTCGCAACCGGCGCCTCCAGCCTCAGGAAGGTATCGGGATCCTCCTGGATCGTGGCGGCAACCTCGGCACCAATACCAGCGTTCACCATCGCCTCGTGCACCACGATGCAGTGGCCTGTCTTGCGCACGCTCTGGAGCACCGTCTCCTTATCCCAAGGGTATAGTGTCCTCAGGTCAATGAGCTCGACAGAGATGCCCAGCTCCTCCTCGGCCCGCTGGATGGCTGACATACAAGTGTACAGCGGCTGTCCGTACGAGATAATCGTCACGTCCTTGCCCTCCTTCAAGACCTCGGCTTTGGACAGCGGTAGCGTATATGATCCCGCGGGGACCTGCTCGACAGCCGCACGATACAGGATCTTGGGCTCCATGAAGATGCACGGGTCATTGCTACGTATAGCTGCCAGCAGCAGGCCCTTGGCTTGCAGAGGTGACCTCGGCATGATCACGCGCAGACCGGGAATGTGCGTGAACAGACTCTCGGGTGATTGGGAATGATAGAGGGCGCCGTGGCCGACGCCGCCGCAAGGCATCCGTACGGTCAAGCCGCCGACGCTTCGGCCGCAGGCGCCATCTCTGTATCGGTACTTGGCCGCCTCGTTGACGAGTTGGTCAAAGGCCGGGTAGACGTAATCTGCAAACTGTATCTCCGCGACAGGCCGCATGCCTTCTGCGGCCGCCCCAATGGCGAAACCCATGATGCCCTGTTCAGTCAATGGCGTGTTGAAGATGCGATCGGCCCCGTACGTTTCCGCGAGCTTCATCGTACACCGAAAAACGCCGCCAAAGGCGACGTCCTCGCCAAAAACCATGACCGAATCGTCCTCGGCCAACGCAATCGAGAGAGCGTCATTGATGGCTTGGAACAAGTTCATCTTCTTTGTCGTGCCGTCGCGCACCTCCGCCGGGAGCTCAGCCGTGCTGAGAGCATTTTGTGACGAGTGCGCGAGGAGCGACGTTGTCGCATAGTCCACGGGAATGTTGAGCTTCGCATTGGGCGGGTGCGTCGAGTAGAGCCGGGGGGCGGCAAGGGGGAGCAGCTGTGTCGATACCGACGGCGCCAGCGCTCGCCGCAGCGGACGTAATGAAAGTGACGACGGCTTCATTGTGAATGATATAGAGCGGCCCAAAGAAAACCTTCTGGGGAAGCCAATGCCTGTGGGTTTGGTGAGTTTCTAGAGATAAAGGGAATTGAAGGCAGCCGGGCCAGACGAGATAGACCCTCGTCCTAACCCGACGGTTGGCGGGCGATGTAAGTCAATCTTCGGCTTGCAACGGCGTTCGCGGGGTTGAAGCGGCTCCTGCAAGCCACAGACCCCTACAGCCACTTTACGCCCTGATAAGCGCAGAGCTCGGTCGATTGTTGTCCTGCCAACAACCGATTACGCCAAAGCACCTCCAAAACAAGGCAGGGGGAATTGGGTTACGGGTCTTGGCACCAAGCGAGCCACGACTTACGTATTTCCCACAACGTATCCGTACCTACGCCAGGAATGTCATTCGAGTCGCAAACGTTCCAGTGCAACGGCGACTAGGTACTTTCCACCCTACGGCATTTGCGAAAAAATGGCGCCCGGTGAATCGTCGAGACCGTCGTCGCATCGACCGCGAGACTCATCGGGCAGGAAACACCATCACAAAAAGCGACGGCCGCGCGCGGAGGGATCCAGACGGCCGGCCACGGACTCGGGCGAGAGCAGAGAGGAACGGAGCTCGCAATCGCTATCCGTGGATGCGTTGGCGAAGCTGAACCAAGACAACGTCAAGAGGCAAAAGAGGAGGGAAAGGAGGGAAAAGAAGGAATCGGGTGCGGGCAGATCATCGAGGGACGCAGATGCAGAGCGGGCGGAGAGAAGGAGGGCGCGGCGCGAAGCGACCTACAGAGATGAGCCGACGGAACGACCAAAGAGGGTGCGGCGAGAGGAGGACAGGGATGCGGTCTATGAGAAGCCGAGGAGGGAGCACAAGAACAAGAAGAAGCGGGTGGTCAGCGGCGCGGTGATGGAGGAGGGACGCTCACGAGGTCACTTGCGAGGCGGGGGATGGAACAGTTCTGATCACAGCTTCGAGAAGGAGTATCTCATGGAGGACCCTCCGAAACCCGTAAAGAAGCGCAAGAAGCTTTGTGAGCTGGTTCGATTCTGGACTTGGAGGACATGAGCTGACTGCGAACAGGGATATGCCTCGGCGTCTCACTAGTTCTCCTCATCATCATCATCGTCGTGGCGGTGGTGGTCAGTAAGAACAACTCCAAGAGCAGTCCGACGAAAACGACCCTGGGCGACGGGAACCAGGACAGCGTCCCAATGAAGTGGCGCGGCACCTATCTTGACCCGTGGTCCTGGGCTGACACGACCGATTTCAACGTCACCTTTACCGACCAAATGGTTGGCGACCTGCCCGTCATGGGCCTGTACACCGACTGGGACGACTCGGCAAAGGCCAACGACAAGGTGCCGGCGCTCAAAGACGCGTGGGGCTCTTACGGCTCGCGGCCCGCCCGCGGCGTCAACGTCGGCGGCTGGCTGAACCTCGAGCCCTTCATCACCCCCTCGCTCTTCGACTACGACTCCCGACTCGGCATCATTGACGAGTACACGCTCTGCACGCACCTTGGCACAAAGCAGACGGCCGAGGTCCTCGAGAAGCACTACTCGACCTTTGTCACCGAGTCCACGTTCAAGGAGATCGCCGACGCGGGGCTCGACCACGTCCGCATCCCCTTCAACTACTGGGCCGTCGAGGTCTACGACGGCGACCCCTACCTCTTCCGAACCTCCTGGCGCTACCTCCTCCGCGGCATCGAGTGGGCCCGCAAGTACGGCCTCCGCGTCAACCTCGACGTCCACGGCCTCCCCGGCAGCCAGAACGGCTGGAACCACTCGGGCCGCCAGGGCGTCATCGGCTGGCTCAACGGCACCGACGGCGCGACCAACGCCCAGCGGAGCCTCGACATGCACGACCGCCTCTCCAAGTTCTTCGCGCAGGACCGTTACAAGAACATTATTGCCTTTTACGGCCTCGCCAACGAGCCGCGCAACGTGGAGCTCAACAACGCGGACGTGGTCTCGTGGACGGCGCAGGCCTACAAGCTCGTCAAGGGCAACGGCATCAGCGGCATCGTCGTCTTTGGCGACGGCTTCATGGGCCTGGCCAACTGGCAGGGCAAACTCACGGGCTACAGCGACCTGGCGCTCGACGTGCACCAGTACGTCATCTTCAACACGGACCAGATTGTCTACACGCACCAGAAAAAAGTCGAGTACGCCTGCAGCGGGTGGACGCAGCAGACGGAGCAGTCCATGGATACCTCGACGGGCTACGGGCCGACGCTCTTTGCCGAGTGGTCCCAAGCCGACACGGACTGCGCCAAATACCTCACCAACGTTGGCTGGGGCAACCGCTGGACGGGGACGTATAACACGGGCAACGCGAGCACGTCGATCCTCGAGCCGCGGTGCCCGACCGAGGACAGCAAATGCGACTGCGACACGGCCAACGGCGACGCCAGCGCGTTTAGCAGCGACTACAAGAATTTCTTGCAAATGTTTGCCGAGGCGCAGATGCACTCGTTTGAAAAGGGGTGGGGGTGGTGGTACTGGACGTGGGACACGGAGAGCGCGCCGCTATGGAGCTACAAGAAGGGTCTCGCGGCCGGGATCCTGCCGGCCAAGGCGTACGATCGGGATTTTGACTGCTCTGGGACCGTGCCGGACTTTGGTAGCTTGCCAGAGTACTACCGGATGTGAAAGTCGGAGCTTGGCGGTTTCGGAGGTTCCGGAGGTCCGGAGGGTGAAGGTGCTGGTGGTGGGCCTTGGGCCCGGCCGCTGTTTGACGACGTGCGTCTGGCAGCCCAACGACATGCTTTCTGGGGTTGTTGATCTTTTTGCATGCAACTGGCGTTTTCTCATCTTCTTCCCTTCTGGCTTTATGCGGTGTCGAGGGTTCAGCAACTACATACTAACCAGTGAAGCGAGATACATAGAAAGAGGTGACGGGTCATGAATGTACGTGTAAGTAAGGTACATTGGCTAGATGGAAAGTTCATGTATGATAATAACGCTTATGGAGACCGCACATGATCCATCTCCAAGTAGATAGAAAGGAAGAAGGCGATGAAAGAATCACGAGCCATCGAGGACTACCTTACTTACTTACTTACTTACCTATTTTGTTAGTGAGCCCCAACGTTGTACATCGCGAACCACGTTGAATGAGCGGATGACCAATCTTGGTCATATTTCCGAGGAGTATTCAACCCCAGAAGGATTTCCGCGGCCCCGAATTCGTCATCACAAATCGGAGCACGTGGTAATGCTAGGCAAACGACTGCATCGAACCTAAGCCCCCCCCCCAAATCCCCGAAAGGCGCGAGAGAGGAAGAGAGAGGAACAGAGAGGCGAGCTGTCAGAAAAATTGGCAATGCGCACAGACACTGGAAACCAGATAACGGAAGCTGCCGATACTGACAACCCTCTCGCGGCTTCGGCCCTCTGCGTGAGAAGCGAAATTATCAGCCCAGCTGTTTTTTGCAGGTCCTGGGACTTGGGAAAGCGGGGATCATCAGGGATCGACTACCTAAAAAGCCCACATGCCGGGCAATCTGAACCATTTTTTCAGATGTCAGAGGAGAGAGTGGGAAGCTAACCAAAGTATGATAGATGGGGGGAACGAGTTCGAGGCTCGAGCTTCAAGCTTATCGAACGTACGTACTATTTCATCGGTGAACCTATCATTCCATTGGGTCGCGCAACTTACTATGTACTAGTACCCCGTGGTGGACTTCCGCCAAGGGAGGGATGGGACTCTTCTCAGCAACCATTTCTCTGCTCCTGTAAGTCGGCAATGAGGTTACAGGGCCACAGGGCCAATTTTGGCACCCTGCGACTCGTTGCAGACTGACAACAGTGACAGGCGCCTTCTGTCTCATTTCATCCCGGTTTCCAGACGCCGAGGATACCCTGTCTTCTCCGCTGGCGCTAGACTGGGGAAAGACTGAACGAGGAACAGAGCAAGAGACCAAAAAGGTAGTGGTGAATCTCGGCTCTCCCAACGTCATCTCGATGGCGGCTTATTCCCGAGAGAGCCCCGCCGCCCTTCACTAACCCGTTTGGCCAATGCAAAGACTGTCAAATTGCTAGCAATTGCAAACTCCCGCGCCACAAAGCCGATCGACTGAAATGACCTTCCATTGGACCCTTTCATCCGCTCTCTTAAGAATAGGTTGCATACTGTTGGCTCCAACGCAGGACTGGAGGACGTCCCCAAGGCGATGGAGGGCCCAATATCCGTACAGCGTCATCCATCCCATAGTCTGTCACCCACCACCAGGGGCTTTATGACACGCGTGCATGCCCCTCTCCTGTGTAGATATCCGTACTCCTTTCTCCTCTTCCCCTTTGCCGCGATGACGAGATCCACCCTAGTCTGGGGTGTGCTTCCTCTCCAGAGAGCGAACTGCGTGTTGGGCTGAATAATCGTCGAGAAGCGAGTGCGTGAGAAAAAAAATTGACAAACGGGTCGCGCCGTCCAGCCATCCATCGTCTTTGACTAATGCGTGTGAATGGATGCGGTGCCGATTGCGCGAGGTCCCCACAATCCACTTACTCGCGCCTTTGCTGCTTGCTTCCAGGTTGGGTATCGGGAAAACTGCAACTCGATGAAAAAGAAGTCTTCTTCCACCACACCCCCTTTCGCTGCTGCTGTTGCTTCTCCTTCTGGGTCGTGGAATAAGTGTGAGCGTCGCAATGGGAGAGGATCTATTTCTTCCACTTCCAAATGAAAACCACTGCCCTTCACACACATCTGCTCGCAGCAAGGCCCATCCCAGCAAGCGACTGATCTGATCTGATCCTGTCACGATCCACACGACCACTGGAACTCGGAACCCGGCCCATAATAACCACACGGGATATCCGTACAAATATCCGACTTCCGCAATCGGCCGACTAACGGTACCCTTGATATCAAGTCGTTATCAGTTGGCCCTACTCAAGACCAGAGGGGGAAAAAATTGTCAGTTATTGTTGCTACTTGGTGTTCTACCAGCGTTCAACGACAATCATGACGGAAGAGGTCGATCGAGACGTCGAAAAGGCCGAGAGCCGCTCATTAAACCAGGACGATGACAGCGCCACAGTCCACGAGGACTCGGGCTTCGAGCCCATCCGCACAGGCGCCGCCGGTACACGGTCGCTCCGTCATTCAAGGTCCATGACCCGGACGCGGTCGCAAAACGGCTACAGCTGTGACGACTACCAGCAGCGCGACGATGGCCCACCGAGAGAACCGGAAAAGGACCAGTATGAAGTGACTTTCGAGGGCGGCGACAGCGATCCCATGAGCCCACGTAGTTTGGGCAAAATGAGGAAGTGGCTCATCGTATCCATTGTGTCGTGCGCCAGTTTTTGCGTGTAAGTGAAGTTGATCGACGAGTTTGCGATGAGATGTTGATGTGAGACAGCACCGCTGCAAGTTCCATCTACACCTCGACATATGCCCAGATGGATGCAGAGTTCGGCAACTCCCGACTGGTGAGCACTATCGGCCTGTCAGTCTTCGTTCTTGGCATCAGCTTGGGCCCCATGTTCCTGAGCCCCCTCAGCGAATTTTACGGTCGCCGGCCCATCTACCTGGTCTCTTGGTCCATGTATGTCATCTGGATCATCCCGTCAGCCGTCGCCAAGAACATTGCAACCATGATCGTTGCCCGATTTCTCGACGGTCTGTCTGGCAGTGCCTTCCTCGCCGTGTCCGGTGGCACCGTGAGTGACTTGTTTGCTCGTCATGAGCTTCAAGCCCCCATGCTGATGTACTCACTTGCTCCCTTCATCGGACCGTGCATCGGCCCGCTGATTGGCGGCTTCGTCAATTACAACGCCCACTGGAGGTGGACGTACTATGTCATGATCATCTGGGCCTTTGTGCTTTTAGTTGCCATTGTCCTATTCGTCCCAGAGACTTATCGTGAGTGTCCATGGAGGGTGCGCCCCTGGACTAGCTTATCAGAGCTGACTTATGCTTACAGATCCGATCGTCCTGCGGACCAAGGCACGCAAGATCCGAAAAGAGACAGGTGACGAGCGGTGGAAGGCCCCTGTCGAGAAGACAACCAAGTCGGTCATCAGGACAATCGGCATCTCCCTAATGCGTCCGTTCCAGCTCATTGCATTCGAGCCCATGGTCCTCAGTCTCGACATCTTCTCAGCCATTCTCCTAGGTATTCTATACCTTTTCTTCGGCGCATTCCCGCTCGTCTTCACAACGGTTCATGGCTTCAACCTGTGGCAAGTCGGTCTCACATTCCTGGGCATCCTCGTGGGTATGTTTCTTGCCGCCGCGACCGACCCCTTGTGGCACCGTATCCGTAGTCGACTCATGGCGGACTTGGAAAAGGAAACGGGCGTCGAGGGTGCCAGTGAGCCAGAGTTCCGCCTTCCGCCAGTCATTCTGGGCGCTTTCCTCTGTCCAATTGGTATCTTCTGGTTCGGATGGAGCATTCATGTGCATTGGATCATGCCCATCATTGGATCCGCCATTTTTGGAGCTGGGTAAGTTCACTTGTCCCTTCGCACAGCATCGCAAGTATGACCCAAAGTTGGAAAAAGGCCCGTGGTTTCGCAACATCCGCATCTTTCTGCCGTGACAAGACAACCCCGTGGTTGCTTTGAGCAGGTCTCTGCAGGCTTCTGCAGGTTCATGTGCTGGCATATGCTTTCGGCCGTTAGGCAAGCTTTGTCAGGCCTCCACGGGCCGTGGGGTGATGTTGTTTTTCCATCTTGGATGCAGGAGCATGCAGCTGACCGTCTTGATGTGTCGTAGGACTCTCCTCGTCTTTACTGGAATCTTTACGTTTCTTGTAAGTGAAATACGTCCCGCCAGCTCCCCGCTTGTGGCGTTCCAGGGGTTTGGAATCGGTCTCAGGCCCGGATGTTACACGACAGAACTGTGCTAATGTTGGGGCTTCTAGGTCGATGCTTATCCTTTGTACGCCGCGTCGGCCCTCGCAAGTAATGCGTTTGTGCGATGCATGTCCGCTGGTAAGTTGCCCCGTGGCACTAACGCCTTAACCACTCAGCCGGGTGGTATCGTGTTTCGTTCGGCGCTGACTTGGAAACTCTTTCAACAGCCGCGTTCCCGTTGTTTGGAACTCAGATGTATAACAAACTTGGATATTCCTGGGCATCTTCATTGCTCGCCTTTTTAACGGTGGCCATGCTTCCATTCCCCTATATCTTCTTCAAGTATGGCAAAAAGATTAGAAGCCGTAGTCGATTCGCTACGAAGGCCTAAAGCAGAGGGGCGTCAAATTCTACAATGGAAAAAAGAAAAGTTGGCCATTACGCCAAAGCAACGAGAGATTCAGCGACGGCCGGCGAGGGATCAGGCACGAACGGCATCGCACAGACTTTCCGCGATGGTGGGGAGTACCAACAAAGGCTGCCTGCCTATGAATGGTTGACAGTCGTCGCATGCAGCCTCGCTGCCGCTGCTGTCGGTTGTGGGCACCCATAGTATGCGCGTTCCTGACCCAGACGGCCGAGTTGGGATGCCACTTGGCGTTATTGGACGAATAGTGAGCGGGAGTCCGCGCGCAGCAGATGCAGCTGTTGATCGCGTCGATCGTCGTGAGGTGGACGGCAGTAACCTTCTGCAAGTGTCCAAGGGGTCGGGCTGGCATTGATGGAAAGGTCGTCAGGCAGCCATAACGAGAAGGCTGGATGGTAACGCGACAGACGGGGGCTGACAGAGTGGCTGCCATTGACGGGCGAGTAACCTTGGTTGATTTTGTGCTCACATGCAATGAGATACCCCGAGTGGCTGCTGGACTGCAGATGGATAGACAGACCGATGCTCGGCAAGTCGGCTAAGACCAATGTTAATGCAACAATACCATGCACATCCTCAGCGAGCAGTGACATAAAGTGCATTGCACGTTTTGGATCCCCAAGCTGGGTGTAAGTCGTCACTCGGCCCTCGGCTTGTCTTGTCTTGGGTCCAGGCAGATTGCGGACTGCGGTCGTTGGATGTCGAGATCGTAGTGGATCTGACATGCAGCAATAGAACCTTTAGAATGCCAGATGTCCAACAGAGTGAGTGGCTTGCAATTGCGCCGCTAACGTAATGCCGTGCGACTGAACCTGACCAGGTTGGCAAAAGGTTGACAAAAAGGCGAGTGTTTCCAAGGAGCCAAGGCGAAGCAGATGACAAACGGATGGTTACTGTTAGGTAATCAGCGTCAAGTTTTGGGTTTGTCGTGGATCGAGGATGAGGTAAGTTGATATGATGAAATTCAAATCGTGGGTGAGGTGAGCAGGATATGGCCTGGCCAACCTAGTCCGGACCAAGTTGCGAGGATGCGAGTTACGAAGTTTTGTAATGAGAAACCTTTGCTCGGATTGCATCTGGACCCAAGTGTCTGCATGTAAGTGCACAGGTGCATGTTCTGCAGGAGCGGGCGGCAGGCATGTGCCCAACTTTTCAAGCCATCGAGTACGGAGTACAGACGAAGAAGATGGATTGTTTCCGTCCTTGTTACCGTACCGCCTTCCACAGTCCCCAACGGTGCACCGACTGTGCAGCCGTCGAGGGAAAGACAGACGGGGGCATAGTACTAGATACATCTGCAGTGACGCAAGTCTACGCGATGCCTCATGTAGCGGCCACTTTGAAGGGTTGCTCAGTGGGATTTTCGGCTAGGACCCACACAATGCGCCCACATTCCCCCTCGGCCCAACGAATGACGAGTGTGATATTTTCTCCAAGAAAACCCCGCAGCTCAGCACGCAAATCTTTGACCAACGGCAGCGAGGCTGGGGAATCCGTTTCTCTCTGGGCGTGTAAAACAGCCTAACAGGTGCTGCAGCCAAGGTACTTTGCTTTGCCCAAGGTACCACCCTGGCTCCCTCTGCCTGTCCCTCTCTTTTTCTTACCGACGGTCAGCTCTGACGACAAACCTCGCGTGCTCCTCTTCCACCCGACCGAGGATAAACATCACGACTCCAAAATCTTGCCGCGACCCCGACGACGCCGCTTTCCCTTCAATTGCGCCGCTGCTTTTGCGACCACGAACCTGCGAATGCGATCCGCTCTATCAGTACTGCTTATTACAAAGTAGTCAACGAAAACTCCCATACCGCGTGTCAATGCTTGCAGCAGAAAAGCACATGGGCAACGGCTACCTGCAGACACCACTCTCGCCCTCGACCTCTCAGAACCTCCGTCACATCACCCCGGCCCAGCGCCGTCAGTCGGCTATCCGCCCAACGACCCTGTATACGTCCTTGTCCCCGCGACCTCATGTGGTCCGCGACGCGAACACCGGTCTCGAAACGACTGCGCCAACCATCGAGTCCTAGTCTTGTCGTGACGAGCACGTCACACAAGGAACGCCTCTTTTCTCTCCACCAACCCACCATTGGAGACTCCTGACTGCTGAGGATACGAGCTGTAGGAGACCCAAGGCTCGCCGACTTTATCCCTACTGCCCTGTCCTGCCCTGCCTGTAAGCCATCTGCCTACTTGCGGCGCAAAAGGAGACAAAGTAAGAGGGAGAAAACAAGGCTCTCCCGGCCCATATTGCGGGAGCGCACAGCGCCTATTGCTGGCCCTGTTCTCCCATACCACGCCGTGGCGGGAACTATTTTTCGGCTGGACTCCTATTCGCAGACTCGAACTGCCACTACGTACACAGGCTCTGGAGATAGCTAGTCACGCAGTGGTGGTGCACTTTGAGCTGTGTGTGTGGCAGCAGCCCAGCCAGAACCCCGGCGTGTGTCACTCTACGCCGACGCAGGAGGATTTCCCTGCTTCCTTTCCTACACTACGACGCCCATCCAGCGCGACACCGGGCCAGGCCACATCCGTTTGAAAGTGAGCCCTGTGGTTTCGCAAACGGATCATCAGGGAGATTCGTGGCCCGGGGCTTGCAGTACCGTGCCGTCACCGCGCCAGCTCCCACGCCATTTCTTTTTTCTACCCAAGGGGAGGCTTGTATATATAAATCCACGACACCATGCCTGACGGCCTCGACGATACCGGGCCAGAGGTCTCGGATGCCATGTCAGATAATGACCACGAGTACGACGACGACACGCCTATAAGAGACGACGAAGACGAAAAGATGGCCGAATCTCACGACAGCGGTGCCGACACCAACGGCGAGGTTAAGAAGAAGTACGATCCCAAGGATCCTTCACGACCAAGGAGGAAGAAGGCTCGCCGGGCGTGCTTCGCCTGCCAACGAGCCCACCTGACTTGCGGTAAGCTTTGCCCGATTCCTCTGGGTCCGGCTCGCGATAGTCTCTGGTCAAGTGAATGGCCGTGAAGTCTTGTAAAGCTTTGAAGTGACCCCCGTGATAACCGGGGTTTAGCTGCCTGCTCCACTCGTATGGCCGTCTGCGATGCAACCTTGCTGATGGGATGGCTACAGGAGATGAACGACCTTGTCAGCGATGCATTAAGCGTGGACTCGCAGAAGCTTGCCAAGATGGCGTCCGCAAGAAGGCGAAATACCTACACGATGCTCCGCCCGAAGCTCTGCGGCCCGTGCTGGGCCCGAACTACAACCCCAACGCGGCGCCGGCCCGCCCCAATGGCCAACGGCAACACAGCGGGGCCTCGGATACGGCATCGACGGCAGGTAGCACGTATTTTGGTCAGAGCGCAACCACGTCGTTCCCAGTTTACTCGGGTCAGCAAACGCCTGTCGGCATTCCCGAAGGCCTACCGTATCAGGCGCAACCGTCACCGATATCACCTTCCTTCCCGCAGCCGAGCAACACTGCTCGGTCCATTGGTGGCATGATCTCGCCGCAGGTCGCCAACGACCCCTTCAATACGTTATTCGATCCGAGCAACCCAGCAATCTTCAACTTTGATCTGGAAGGGCTCAACTTTGGCAGCCAGTATGGCGCCATGGAGTTCGGCATGCTCGGGCACATGTCGTCGGGCGCGGCGGAAACCCCACCGCGCGACGGCTCCCTGTCCGGACCAAGTGGTGAAGTCAACTTTGGATCCACCAACGTCTTTGGCAACAATGGCAACAACCAGTTTGGCCAAGTGTACGATAGCGGTATGATCAACGATTTCATGGGTGTAGACCAGTCTTCCAACGGCATGTACCAACAAGGCAATCTGCAACATGGCCTTCCACATGCCTACGCCATTGCTGCTGGCCCAACAAGCCTACATAGTCCAAGCACAGACAACACCGCCAGCCCGCAACCTACTAACTTTACCTTTGAAGGATCTCCAAGTGGGAACTTTGGCGCTGTTGGAAACTCCCAGACCATAACCGCCCCGAATCGGCCGAAAGCAAAGACCGGCGCCTCTCAAAAAAGTGGTCCTCACACGCTCCTCGGCAAGAGGCAGCGCGACCCTTCGTCCATTTACGAGACCGTAAAGGAGCCATATCCATATCTCGCCGGTTTCCACGCTCTCATCGACTACCTGCCGAAGCGCTTCTCTGCCAACAGGACGCTGCGCATTGCAAAGGCGCTGGCCAGCATTCGCCCATCATTCATTGCCTGCACCAAAACTCTCAGCCGTCAGGATCTCATCTTCATGGAGAAGTGTTTTCAACGCACTCTATTCGAGTACGAAGAGTTCATGCATCATTGCTCCGCGCCCACTATCGTCCTACGTCGTACTGGCGAGATTGCCGCCGTGAACAAGGAGTTCATCGCTTTGACAGGCTGGACCAAGGATGTCCTCCTCGGTAACGAGCCCAACTTGAACGTCAATACCGGGGGTACCGGGTCAACAAGCAACAGTGGCCGCAACACGGGCCGGGCGGGCTTCTCAACGCCCAAGGCACCCTCCGCAACGCTCGCCGATCAAATCAGGAATGAGAGCGGGCCGCGGAAGCAACCCGTTTTCATTGCCGAGATCCTCGACGATGATAGTGTGGTTGAGTTCTACGACGACTTCTCCCACCTAGCTTTTGGCGACAGCAGAGGCAGCGTCAACCGTACGTGCCGGATCCTTAAGTACCGCACCAAGGAGCAGACGGAAAGCGCGGCCTCGTCGGATATGACACCGCAGCAGGACCCGCGCAAGAGCATACTTAGCAACCGCGTTACCCGCATCGATGGCGAGCATGGCATTTCCAAGATTGAGAAGGATGGCAAGGTGGACTGCCGGTACTGTTGGATGATTAAACGAGACGTATTCGATATCCCCATGTTGATTGTGATGAACGTGAGTTATCCCACCCCTAGAGAGCATTTTGAGAGAAGTCCATAGACTGACAGACGCAGTTTCTCCCATGCTATTACCAGAGCAAGGAATCTCACGGACTCGCTGTGTGACGCGAGGTTTACTAAAAAGGAGCGATCAGGGCATATGTGGAAGGAGGGCATGGGAGGCGTTTTCAATTTATTGAAGCTTTTGGTTTGTTCTCTCGTCATTTACTTGATGGATACATGTGGCTTTTCCTGTTGAAAGGGAGGCCGGGAAAGGCGCATCTTTGGAAGGGGGTTTCTATGCTCATATTACCCATTGTTTCCTAGCACCACTTCACTTCAGCCACCCCTCGGCGAGAGAGGGAAATACCCAGGACCCTATTCGTGGACAGACAGAGCTTTTGGAACGAATTCATGCTTCTATATTCTAACGCTTCGTTTGGTCTTGTGTTACTTTTTTTTTGGAGGAGACGTGGTGATCATAACAGGTGATTGATGTATTAAAAAAAAAAACTTTAGGCCTTGGGCAGCTCCTCGACCAACCACTTTGCGTCAAGCGACCCGTCAACCGTTGCCTCTGGCCGCAGAGCCTTGGGCGGCGCCCAGGCGGTCCTCTCGAGGGAACTTTTGGCGACGTCGCAGTCGGTGTTGATGTCGGCGATGAGGGCCTCGAGGGACTTGTAGTCGAGCTCGTCGCGGACGAAGCCGAGGATGAGGAGGCGCATGTGAGCGTCGTAAAAGTCGGCCGAGAACTTGTGGAGGACGTGGACCTCTGCGGAGCGGACCGTGTTCTTGTAAAAGGGGTTGTAGCCGATGGACATGACCATTGGGTAGAGCTGGAAGTCGATGTGAGGCTGCGCGGGACCGGAGCCCGAGGAGGTGGGCGGGGCGACGCGGTCTGGGTGGGAGGGGGGGAGGGAGAGGGAGGCCCAGCCGAAGTAGACGCCTGATTTTATGGTGTCGATCCAGGGGGTCAGGGAGGCGTCTACGGGGAGGTTTGCGGTTGGGATGCCGAGCTGGCGTGACGTTAGCTTTGGGGAAGAAAAGCGGAGGGGGGGTTGAAGGGATGTGGTGCTTGGGGGGAGGATCATAAATGTGGGTGTGAGTGAGGCGTTTGTGTGTATGTTGTGAGAGGAAGAAAGGCCGTCGGCAACAGGTCGACGAGACGGTACGGGGGAATCTCTCTGGGACTAACCTCCTTAGACCCTCGGCCGAAGCCAGAAATGACCTTTCCTTCCATCTTGTACGGGTAAGGAGCCTCAGGGCCCGATTCCGGGCCGACGATGAGGGGACGCGTCGTCTCGGTTGCTACCATTTTGACGTGTATGTTCTGACTCTTTTCAGACTTTTATTTGTTTCCCCAACAAGCGTCTGCACACTAGGTTCTCTGTCGAGATGAGTTTGTGTGTTTGTGTGTGGTTGGAAAGGTGGTTTTCTGGTGTTTGCTGAATAATCCAATCCACCACGGGGTGAGTGAGTGAGACTCTCAAAAGTAAGCTGCGAGGTGAGCTTTGGTTTCTGGGGAAATTGTCAGGCTCAGTTTAGAGATTAGATGGGGCGATGCAGATTAGCTTACACTGGAAGAAAGGCAATGGAGGTGTCAATCTCGGAGAAAAGATCTCAAGGTTTTTAATGTGAGAGCAAGAAATGTCAGACAGATTGCGACATTGAGGTGAGAGAGAGAGGGAGAGAGCCGCTCGATGATGAGATGAAAGTGGTGGTGGGGCTGCAATGGAGGGGTCGTCGTTCCGATAGGTATGACTGTTCAGGTTGAGAGGTGCAGCGAGCGATTCGGGCGGCTTCGATAAGACTCTCGAGCGAGAGTGGGTGAATGCGTTATCGATTCGCGATCGGGAGGGGCACGACGTTGCGCCGGGTGAGAGTGGGGCCCGGGCGGCCTGTTCTTGCCTGGCGCTCCTCATGGGGAAAGACAAGCCGGCAGGCCGGAGGCTGCCGTGTGACGAGGCGATGGTTTCCTTGCTTATCCTCGTCCAATGATTTTTACAGATTCATACATTCGTCCCGTGTAAGACGTGTGCACTTGGTTGATCATTGGGGGAAGCGCAGTCGGGACTACTTTTCGGATACAATGCGTTATATACTAGATCCATTAAATAAACAATTAAATAACAGTATGTTGCCTGGGCTCAATCTTGTTCTTCTAAAGACAGTGGGTGGTATTTCCTTACACGTGGGATATCAACAATTCCAGCAATTCAAAAGCCATGACATCAACAAGGAGAAAAGACGAAGAAAAGAAAAGGGACGAATAACCATGGTGCTGACGGTCTCGGTACTAACAAATGGGAGCGGAGGGATGGCCAGAGGACGCGAACAACCAACCAACATTACAAGACGCAATCTCATCTCTCAACGTCCACCTGACGATGGAAAGACGAGATTTGTGATACCGCACACAACCAGCTTTCCAATAAGTATACGAACCGTTCGTCCCATACCGTGACCTTTGTCTCTGCGTCGCCGTAACCACGGACTAGGATGCGATTGGGTCCCGAGAGAGATGGCTCAGCCGGCGCCGTGTCACCACGGAAACACTCCGCGAGACGAGACAAACGCCGTAGGACCAAGAAGACAGAACAGTTCCGACGGCGGGCGTACTTGTCCTCGTAAAAAAAACAACCTCTACATCACTTTTCCCATGCCACTGGTAGCATACCTGTCCACCACCTGATAGCCTACACACGCCCGAGGCCTAAGAACGGGGCCAGGCGCCGTGCTTCCACTCGGTGCGTCCAAGCCTCACAATCTCGGGCGCCTCAATGACCCACAGACCGGCAGGCGCCTTGCCCTGCTCGACAAGAACGGCAGCGTGCACGGCAGCGCGGGCAATCACCTCGGCATCCTGACCAAAGGTATCCTGGACGCCGCGGTTGATCATGCCCAGACCACGCACGACGCTCTGAAAGACGCCCTCGCCGGCGCGGCTCTCTTCGCGCGCCCCGAGAATCAGGCCGGGCTTGAGGATGATGCCGTGGTCGAACCCGGCCTCCTTGATGGCGTCCTCGACACCGTTCTTCATCTTGCTGTAAGGCGCCTGGGCGCTCAGCATGCCACGAGTGCCGCCGCTCGAGATGAAGATGAAGGCCTTGGTGCCGGCGGCTTTCGCGGCCTTCACGAGCTCGACGTTGAGGTCGTGGTCGATTTTCCACTGGTTGGCGATGCCGCCGGCGGCGGCGCGGGTAGTGCCGAGGGCGGAGAAGACGACTGTCGGGGTGGGCTGCAGGGCGGCTAGCTTCGGGGGCCAGGCCGAGGTGTCTTGCTCGATGACGGGCTTGAGGGTCAAGCCGCCGGCTTTGGGGGGCCGGCGGGAGAGTGTGTTGACGGCGGCGAAGGCTTCCGAGGTGATGAGATTCGTGAGGATGTGGGAGCCCACGAGGCCGGTGGAGCCGATGACTGCGGCGTTGTGCGCCATTGTTGAAAGAATGATCAAGGGATCTGAGTGTTACGGTGGCCTTTTTTCTGTCCTGCACTGTCGCAATGGACCAGAGAGAAAAGGTGAGATGATTGATACGACGAAGACGTGCCCGGCGGGTTAGTCTCTCGCGCAACAGTAAATTGGTTTATTGTCTGTGATGTTGCAGCTGTCGCTATTCCTTTTCCTGTCTGTGGGTGGGAACAGAAAGAAGAGAAAAGGGGGAAAATGAACAGAGGCGCGAGAGCAGAATGCCGGGAGTCTGTGGGATATGTTGATGCGGGCTTTATGAGAGCTTTACTGGTGCCGGTGCTTTTTCGAACCCTAAGGAACTTGCTTGATCTTTACGATTGTCTGTGTGTACTTGGTGAGACAAGGCTTTGAGAGGGGGGTGGTGTTTAAGACAAGGCAGGATGAGGGGGAGTGCGAGATTGGGCACAGAGTAACGAGCGTGAGGCTATTGTACCTTTTGATGGTAGTTTAAGAGAGACGGAGGTAAAGGTAATTAGAGGCGTGTGCTGGTTGACGAGCTGGAGGTGGACGAGGAGGCTGTCGAACAAAGTTCCTTGGATATGACGAAAGAGTTGGCACTTGCGCTTGCGCCTTGGACCGTTGACGACCGGGATGGGGGTGGATGGGGAGACGGGGAGATGTGTTTGCGAACGAGGATGGGAGAGAACGACAGCGGCGGGGGGGAGGTGGGCAGGAAAAAAAAACCAAAAAAGAGACGACCGCGGAAAGTTGGAACGGTTCATTTTTTCAAGCTCGGACAGGGAGATCGGAGCGGGTTTCTGTCATGGCCTCAACTGGCAAACGTCCACCACTATTTCCGCATTCTGCTGAAGGAGCAGAATAGATACATTTGATTACAGAGCCAGATCCACACTGTAGACGGCGATGCTGGCCGATTGAAGTGGTAGGTTGCTGGTCTGATGGGTGCCATTAACGCCGGGGGCGCCGCCTCGGGATCTTCACGACGGTTACGGATACTCCACGCTCGTCAGGCATGACGGGGGGGTGTTCACCGTTCCTTGGTCCGATCGGGTTCCACATCAGGTTCGCAGAGTCCCGTGCTTTCGTCTCTGATCCAAAGGAGGAGAATAAGGCGGTAGCGGGGCCCGGGGTCTCACGGTTCACCGTGAAGTCCGTCTTGATATTTCTTGACGGTTACTCATCTATACTTACACTGTAGACCAGAACCTCCGTCCAGGCAGAAACCGCCTCGCATGAATTCGAATATGCCAAAGCACCTTCACACATGACTAGCACGTACGTACTCGGCCTCGCTTCTGGTCTTCTAGCTGCCATCTATCACACCCTCTGCTCTCTGTCCGTGACTGCAAATCCGGTGAGACGCTCTGAAGACGACGACGTGCAGAGAGAGAGAGGGGGGG